GCTATTTACGGTCCGTATATCTTAAGCGTAGCTTGGACCCCCCCCCTCCCAATACATTTTGCTGGATCCGCCAATGAATGTCGATATGCCTTGCTGGGAGTTAATGGCCACCTGACGTCGTCTATGCATGTACATATTTATAATGGGCATGATGTCAAAGTGTGCAATTAAGGCCCTTGAACCAGGATTAGTTAATCACCATCCCTCCACTATATGGATTATGTAAAATGCATGGTTATTTTACCAACGATACAAAATGAATTTATTTATCTAGCTTAAACGTAAATCTGAATTTACGATTAAAATAATCTCACACCCTAACTTTCTACCCTTATATATGAACGTAGCACACTAAGGCAATTGCATTCTGGGAAGTGTCCCATATGAGTCCATTGAATGACGATTGGCACTACGAATGACAGAGACGACATTGAATTCCCCTAAACGTGTATGAATTCTGTGTTTGTTTTTCAATAGAAAATCACACATGTGTTAATGGTACATATAAATGCAAGAATCAGAGTATATGTGTGTCGCCTAGCAACATATGTGATGGTGTAGCCCAGTGTGAAGATGGTGGAGATGAGCTGTATTGCGGTACGTACACGTCACCTTACGTATTACGTGCAAATTTATAATGCGTTTCGTTGTTCAACATTGTTTTTGCCTCACATAATTAATATAGCAATCAGAAAATATGGGTCTACCATAAATGTCTAAATGGCCTCTTTACCCTGTGTAGATACACGTTTGTTGTTGAACCAGTACTGTTTTCTTACACATACGGCGAAGCATATATATTAGTACAGTGCCTTATATGGTACATTGTTATGCTATTAAAATCCAACTTATCGAACATTGTAAAAACTCGCTGATTTTAGATTATGGGTTATGTCCAGATTATCCAAGAAAGTAGAAATTCATGGCGTACTTAGATTCGAGTTATTGAAATTATTTAAATATCACGAATGACATTTGTAAGTTGCTTCTGAACGGAGCGTGGTACAGTGGTCACCGTGTTTGCTTCGCATCAGGGGGATTGTGCTTCTGGACGGAGCGTGGTACAGTGGTCACCGCGTTTGCCTCGCATCAGGGGGATTATGGTTTCGATACCCTAACTGAATGCTC